TTTTCAGAAGGTTTCTGGAAAACCTTAAACGAATGCCCGGCCGAAAGTCACCGTTTTCGTCTTCGATAATACTTTATGAGCTATCCTGAGCGTTTCCTGAGGATCCTGACACAAAAGCAAATATTGCCACTATGCTCAGCGTAGCCGATTACCTATATTCCATGGCATTTCGAGATTCCCAGAGACATCTGCTCGGAGATAGACACGTGCCCGGGGACAGCGCGCCCTGTCCGAAAGACGACAGCTGGAGAGCCGGGACTTGCATGGTTTTGTAGAGTAACGTCTGGACTATCTACGCATGGAGAGACCTTACTACCATTCTATGTTAGTTTTCTGAGAACGAAGCCGGTTTCCCAAAGATGCTCTGCAAACCCGATCTTTGAAATTTTTTCAAAAATTCTTTCCGCTTGTAAAAAGTTTTGCTAAAGTCTTGCGTATCGTACAGGGAAAACCGCGGGCCTCTATCTCAATCCTATCAAAAGTTATTTAAAAAACGCCCATCTGCACTATATTTTGGGATGCATACTAGTGCAGCTGCTACTAGCTTATTTTTAATATAGATTGAGGATTCTTCGTATGAAGATTTAGAGAGACCTCAATTTGAAGAGTTGAGAACTTCAAAATGTAAGAATTCCGCAAGTTGAGAATCTAAGGATTTGATAATTGTGCAAGTTGAGGATATGAGAACATGAGAATTCTTGAAGTTGTTAATTTTAGAATTTGCGCATTGCGGAAGTTGAGAAAATATGATTACTGCTCTTAATTTGAAAACGTGTAATCCCTTATTTTACTCTGAAACGGATATAGTTCGTTGACCAACGCTAATGAGTATCTATATTTTCAGAATAGTTTCTTAGCTTCGTATTGACGAAATAATTTCCAGAAGAATCCGTTAATAATAACTAACGACTTATGATTTCCTCTTTTTTTTAACACAATGCAACACGTTTCCAAATTTTTCAGAGCTTCTCAAACAACTTAAACTTTGTTAACCTGTTCTTTCTGTGTTTATTACGTCTGTGGTTAACGGCAAAAACCACCCCATTTTGACATGAAATGCTATTTTATCTATATCAAACTCATTTTTAATCACAAGTAACTTTCATCTTCCATTCACTGAACCACTGCTATTGCGCATCCGATGGGCGAATGAACGACGTCTCCAAGAGTCTTCAAGGACACTTCAGAAACTTCTTCACTAATATTGATATTTAAAGCAGTATAAAAGCAAGTTTTGACCAATACTCGGCGCAATACAGGGCGCTCATAGTGGTTTTCTGATTCACCATGCTGAATAACTCCACCATATCATTTCATCCCATCTGGTTGTAAAAACAATTCAACCAACAAGATTGCTTCCAGAAGTCGCTTACAGTTTCCCAGTTATTGTATTTTTCTACTATGCAAACGCCGATATCAACATTTATTTCATATGGCCCTAGACTTCAGTCAAGGGAAAAACAAGTATCATTGTACACTGCCAACTGTTTTCTTCATGAACAGACAAAATGATGTCATGGGGTTTTCCTCTTTCTTTTTGTGCTGTTCTTATATTTATTTTTAACGTAATTCTTTTTCCTCTTTCCCTCTTGCTAAATAAAGTTTATAACAAGTATCATATTCGCAGTTAGATCATCAAACTGCATCAATTCATGTATGGATCAACAATATTCTGACGTTAAAAGTTTTGCCGCTAGCCTCTCATTCTCCGCAAGTGAAGTAGAATATCATTTGCTTTTAATAAGTTCTCTTGGGCTGATTCACTCAAGTTCACTTTGACGTACAATACAATTTACATAGCATATAATTGGAAATTTGTCAGCAAAAACCTTGAACGCTAAATGAAGATGAAATAAAAAAAATCAGATGAATAACTACATCTAGGAAAATGGATGCAAAAGAACGTACGCTTTATCTGTGACTCTCGTTGAACCAAGGAATGTTGCAATCCACCAAAGCCTACCTATCAGATATCGCCACGGACCGGGGACCCACAGCTTCCACAGCATACTTTTTTGAAGCTTATTTAAAAACCGGACCGAATCAGACTGCAATGTGATGGTTTAAATGAGGGCTCAGCCGTTGTCCCAAAAAGTCCATAAAATTACAGAACAACATGGAAAGGCAACAAGCACATTAAATGTGGAAAATTCATGTTTTAATAACCTTACAAGTACTGACATATCACCAAAATCCAAAGCTTTTGTTATCTCCTCTGTTTCCATACTAATCCAGATCCTACGGGCTGGCCCGTAGAATGTAGCATGTGTTTGGCCCGCCCCATACGACCGTATGTCGAGAGAATGCATAAATTTTTCGGAGCGACCCGTGTTCCGGGTCGCTCCGAAAAATTTATACATTCTCTTCGGACCGGGTCAAAATTCTTGAGCCCAGACACGGACTGGGTCGAAAATAGTAGTCAGAGACGATCTCTGCTGAGTATACTACTTGATGATGAGTAGTTGTTCTCTTTCGTTGAATACTTTTTAGTGGAATACATATAACTGTTGTATTTCGAGGCATCGTAAAATAACGTTTAGTTTCTTCAAATAATTTTACTAATTCTGTACGAAATGTTTTGCTTGATAGTGTTAAAATATAAAATGAACATGTATGATTAACGAATGATATTACACGAGCTATTTCTGCATAGAGATTCTCTTGGGCACGGAGAAGATCACTTTTGACAAAACTGGATGTTAATGTCTTATATAATTTTTGAGTTGCATGTGGCACACTGGTCAGTGATATAAATATAACTTGAAACAATAACATAAGTGCTAATTGCTGATTTTTGTTCGTAATCACAACCACTCTAGATCCTTTGGTTTTAGGTGCAACTAGTCTTAGACGACGTACATTATAGATTGTCAAAACACCGAATAGACTCATTAATATTGGTGGTATGACACTGTAACCGACGAGATAACACACATCATTGAATATTTGATAGATACCTTTTAATGAATCACAAATACCATTTCGATTATCGTAAAAGATGAGTATGTGAGAATAGAACAATAAGCAAATAATTGTTGTAATTACAATAGTATTTCGGGCCACGGATAAACGACTAAATTGCCGACATTTGAAACTACGAGAACTGCACATAAAACGATCGATAGATGCGAGAACAATGAACCATGATGAAAGAGATTTAAATGTAAAATAGATATAAAATCGAAATTTACAGTAGCCTAGAGAGTATGTTCCTGGATCAACATTAAAACCATCAGATAAAATACGACTTGGTAGGATAAAATAGACAACAAGATAATTGGCTATCGTGGATGCCAAAAAATAGCGTGTGCAAGAATTTTGACGTAATGCTTTGCGTGTAAATACAAGAGTATTAAGAGTGAGACCAATAAATCCAAACCCAAATAAAATAATTGAAATATAACGGGCAAAAACTTCATATACAAGATTCAGTGTATTTACTAGTAGATCGTTTGCCGACATTTCTAATGTAGTAGTTATAGGCCTTTTCCCTTCTCAGTCATTTCGATGTTCTTCAGAAAAATATTCACGTAATTTTTCTTTAAAGATGTCTTTGTCGATTAATTATTAAATTAGTTTTTAAATGACATAGTTGTGTAATACTAATCTTTCGCTCGGTAAAATGTCATATCAAAGTAATGTTTGACAAAAGAAACAATTTTTTTCTTTTTCAGAGAAAGACCTTACAGTTCTAACTCTTCATCTTGGTCGTTCATAATAAATCTTTCCTTTTAATCAAATAATAGAGAATAAATATCTTAGATCGATCATCAAGGAGATTTTACCTTTTACCATTAATGTACTTGTCATCTTAGATAAAGCGTTATTCTCTAGTGAGTAAAACTTCTACAGATTACTCTCAAAAATGAACAATTATTCACAAGTAATCGAATATTCCGAACTATCCGTCCGATTTACTTATACATATACAACACGGCAGTTGACTTTTTCCAACATCTATTAAAAAGTTAATCTCTAACTCTTAGTCTACTTACTCTGTTATTTTCCAAATCTGCAGAGGATGTTCCTTACGAGGGAACGTTTTTCGGTGAACTCTTCCGATCTTTCTTTACAAAGTTATACAATTTACACGAAAAGTCCTAAATTAATTTCTTCTTATTTCTGTAGCTTTGAGCTGACAACGAGCATTTAAAGCTTTTCGTGTAAATTGTATAACTTTGTAAAGGAAGATCGCGAAGAGCTGGGAGATACCTCATTTTAACCAGTAATTTGAGAGCTATAACCATGCCTCATTAAGAAAGGTTCTGGTTATCTTTCAGAGTTTCTGAAAAACTGGTTTTCCAGAAAACCGGGTCTTTAAGAGCCATGGGCCCGAACTCTTTTAGGCTTTCTCTTACCTCAATATACTCTATCGAATGACGTATGGACGAACGAAATCGGAAGAGTTCTCCGGAAAACATTCCCTCGCTAGAGTCTCTTCTACAAACTGACCTACGGTTTTGTGATTCGACGTCAAATGGCAGAAAAAAGCAAAGTACCATTCGCTAGTAACCGAATAATTTGGGATTAATCTACCTATTCGGACTATTCAAACATGAATATTAAAGCCGTTCACTTTTTCAATAGGAAAAAATGCTTAGAAATGGCATTTTTAATGTCTGCAAGACATTCATTACTACCTTTAACTATCAAAGTTGCCGAACTCATTGCTCCTACTCTTTGAGCGTACATTTCTTCATTCAAGGACATTTTTCGCTTTTGAACTCTCATAGTATATCTCCATATAGAATGAGAACCCCTTTCTTTCGCAGAACCAAACTGTGACAAGAGAACAAACGATCCTGTCGACTTTTAGCCAAAATTCTCCTAGTTGAAAATGGGCTAAAGATGTATGATTAGGTGCGCAATCAAAAGCTGCGACAATCACTGTTTTCCATTTCGTAAGAAATCAGTTTACCAAAATACTAATAATTTTAAGCTGGATTATGAACCCTAAACCTTTGTTCTGCATATAAGTGTAATATACAACAAGCAGTAAATACTGGTACTCGTAACACATCATGCTCAGCAAAATTTCAAAAAACAGTATATTCCTCCTTCTAGATTTGATAAAAATTAAAATATGTCAAACTGATCTGTCACTTAAGATAGACCTCAAATATTCCTTTATTTTTTC